TAAGACGCGCGTTATCCTTCATAAAGAAAGTCAATCAAAGTGATAATACACCACTCCAATATTGGAGTTTACAGACGATGATGAAAAAAATAAAACTCAAATATACAGGAAACGTTATTTGAATTTAAGAACTTTGTTATTTACTTCTGTCGTACTTAAAAGGGGCACCCTTAAAATGTTTTGTAACAAAGTTGATCTTTTCATGCTTTCATAATTTTTAGGGGCGGGTGCGGTGCAGTAGTTGGAGGTGCCCTGCAACGCACACATGGAATCGATCTCCACGCCTCCCTTCCCTTCGGGGTCGGCAAATTGGTTGGCACCAGACCTGTCTGGGAAGATAGCAGCACTGGCCCGATACATCGGTAGGCCACCGTGAGCCATTGTAAAGGCAAAATATGCATCCAACCACCTCCAAACGATGCTCAATGATGTCAAATGTATGGCACATCCCTCAGAGATTGATCAACGCCGAGAGTTTTATCCTTTAACCTTGTATCCTGGTTTTGCATGTAATTGTTAGGCAAGAGATTTGTGCACCACCGGTTCCATTCCAGTTGTGGTATATATTAATTTAAAAAACGAGTACACTCTACACCACAATGCTTTAACCTTTGTTTACTGCATATTCCTTTTTTTTCATGGCAGGTTACGATGTGAAATACCACACGGTGATGGTAAGGTATGAGCAGAATCCGTGATCTAACGTTGGGCTTTGCACATGTGATGGTCCCTACCGGGAGGTCACGCAGTATCAAACACATCAACTGAGGCCTTTAATTTGCCTTTTCCTTAGCTGAATTTTTACGCTATAAGTGCTACAAGCAATCTCCGGTCAACAGGATATCTGAAGTGTCAAATTTTGCTCATATCTAGGTAACCCTGGAAATTGAATCCTTTCCATTGCCAGACGAAGTCGGTCCCAGACCATGAAATTACAGCTTGTACAAGTTATGGCAATTCGAAATGTAAATCCTTCGTGACCTTGAAAATGTTCTCATTCCTGATTTAATTCATTTAGAACATAACTATAATTAATATGTATTCTTTTTTTTATGAGCTTACACGAGGTCGATAATGATATTTATATTCGGCTAACGTTTCGACGTTTTCGTCTTCCTCAGAGCCGATGATCCGAGTCGATGATCCATGCGTGTTGTTCGTCTCAACGTTGCAGCTTCGCCTTCGTGGCGAGTCAGCTCTTCCTCAGTGAGCCATCTTCTCGAATGAGGCAACCTCACTCACTGATGTCCTTTTATACACGATGCTGATGGTGGATATAATGATAATGTCCGGTGATAACGACTTGTATTTCTTCCGGACATACATCATTGCGCACATCGTGCAGAAGTCGGTGTTTTTATCAGCTAGCACAAATCGTAGTAATATTTCGAGACAGATTTTCCTTGAATCTCGGTCTACGCTTATACATAGACATTATACTTCCACGTGATTTCTGTGCGGTTGGTCTCTACGTGACATACTTAGTGGAAACCTCATAGGAAGCGGCTCTGAGGAAGGCGAAATCCGCCGAAACGTCAGCTTAATCGTGAACAAAGAATAATAACACCTCGCGTTTGCTCAACAAAAATACGAAGAAAATCACTTGATCAATGCCGAGGTTAATAGAAAGTCGGTCGTGGCAGTTACTGCAAGATGTACCAGCGAAATACAAGTCGTTACCACCGGGCATTATCATTATATCCACCATCAGCATCGTGCATAAAAGGGCATCACTGAGTGAGGATGCCTCGTTCGAGAAGATGGCTCACTGAGGAAGACCTGACTCGACACGAAGGCGAAGCTGCCACGTCGAGACGAATAACAACCATGGACCATCGACTCGGACCATCGGCTCTGAGAAAGGCGAAGACGTCGAAACGTTAGCCGAAAATAAATATCATTATCAACCTTGTGTAAGTTCATCAAAGAAAGAATGCATATTGATTAGTGATACCGAGTGAAAATTCAAGGAAAGTCGGTTTCGAAATATAACTATAATTATTCGATATAATTACCAAGGGCACCAGACAATTTTTCACTGTAGGTTCTGCATCCACTTGCACTAGAAACACTAACGTCAGCCCAAGGGAACAATTTCTTGTCAGACATATGAAGCCTTAGTGCCCAGATTGTGAGAAGATGTTATGCCCTGGCGTTGGCAGTTTGAAAAACGGGGGAGATTTAAAGACGGTAAACATCAGAAATGGACTTTGCTTATACATCCATGTAGTTTTCAAATATTTTCGAACGTTATTTCTCATTCGACCACAATTTTGTTTAAAGTTTATAAGCATTTGAAATAATTCCATTGCATAACAATTTGAAATAACACGGAAGAGAGTCAAAGCTGCGACGCGACCGCACGCTTTGCATTGCCTGGTTATCTACAACAGCTTCGGATAGAATTGTAATTCAAAAAAAAGTTGCTAAGGGTCTTTTCTTTATATTTATTCATTGTACAAGCAATCTCAATCAACAGTACACATTCTTAGGATTTTCACAACAACACGATAATTTCAGTTCATTTCATCGACCGTTTTAAGTCACATTTCAGAATAGAAAACGAAAAAGCGGATAAAAAATTGTTTCGTGAAGATTTCTGGGTCATTCATTGAAGAAGTGGTGATGGCGAGAATAGTGTCGGTGATGTTTAGCGGCAAGATGACGACGCATCTTAGGGACACCGTAAATTTTTTGGCACGATGCGTTAACCTTTTGTGCTTTGGTCTTCAGTGTCTCATCGGCGATTGTTTCAATAGCGTTGTTTAATTTTTTAAACATTTCTTCCATGGATGCGCCAGAATCTTTCAGCGCCTTCAGTTCATCAGTTTTCTCTTCACCGAGCAATAACTTAAAGTAATGCTTGCAGCCATTTTTAAGTTCCTCCCTTGCTTTATCCTTCACATCTCCGGTGGCGGTTTCAAAGTACTCCATGATTTTCGTATGTATAGCCTCTTTCTGGTTGTTCTCTTTCAGCTGCTTTAACTCGGTTTTCTGCCCCTCATTTAACCACGTTAAGTACTTTGTCAGTGCTTCCTCTAATTTAATTTCGTGATCATTCTTTTTGTTTCGACTTTTAATCTCATATATCTTCTTACAAGCCGTCGCGACTTGTTCAGCTTGTCCTTTCTTTTTCTCATCCTTCAAATCGGCAATGAATTCATCTATTTTTGAGCTGATAGCCTCGCTGGTGGCTCCGTTTTGCTTCATAATTTTGATCACTTCGACATTCTGATCGCCAATAAAGTGCTTGATATAATGTCTGCAGGCAGCCTTAAGTTGAGAAGTAGCCTTCTCCTTTTTATCACCCGATGCCGATTCAAACATCTCCATTACTTCATTGTAGGTCGCAATTCGGTCTCCAGTTCCGTAGATTTTCTTCACTTGAGCCTTCTGTTCGTCGTTGAGCCACGTTAGATACTTTTCCAATGCCTCCTCTAAGTTGTGTTCATGATGATGGTGATCCCTTCTGAAACGTTTTGCAACACCATAGATTTTTTTACAAGCAGCCGATGCCCGAAGCGCCTTTGCCTTCTTCTCCTCGTTAGTGATCTTCGCGACGAATTCTTCTACTTTGGCGGCGATCTCCTCGTTACTGACGCCACTTTCCTTCATTTCCTTGATCTTCTCCGCGTTCTCCTTGCCAATGGAGTCTTCGATGTAGTGCTTGCAAGCAGACTTCAATTCCATTGATGCTTTCTCCTTGGTCTCACCTGTAGCGGCGTCGAAGAACTCCAGCACTTTTTTATACACTGCTTCTCTATCTTCGCCTTCATAGATCTTCTTCACTTCAGCTTTCTGTTCGTCGTTGAGCCACGTTAGATACTTTTCCAATGCCTCCTCTAAGTTGTGTTCATGATAGTGGTCTCTTTTCAATCGCTTCGCGACACCGTATATTTTTCGGCATGCAGTGGCCGCCTTTATTGCTTGTTCTTTCTTCGTTTCGTCGGTGATTGCCTCAATCATCTCTTCCACCTTAGTTGCAATGGCATCATTTGACGCGCCAGTTTCTTTCATCTCACTAAGCAGATTTCCATTTTCCTCACCGATCAGATCTTTGACGTAATGCTTACAAGCATCCTTCAATTCACTGGTCGCCTTCTCTTTAGTCTCTCCAGCAGCATCCTTAAAGAACTCCATTACTTTCTCATACAGTGCATTTCGATCTCCGACATCGTAGATAGATTTGATTACGATCTTCTGATCATCAGTCAGCCACGAAAGGTACTTATCCATTGCTTCTTCCAGTGAATGTATGTGTTTGTGGTTTCTTCGAAGTCGTTTTGTAACACCAAAAACTTTTTTACAAAGATTAGACGCCACTCTTGCCCTGGACTTAACAGCTTCGTTAGGAATTTCTTCGATAGCTTGCGCTACCTCTTTGGCAATTTCGTCAACAGGTGTGCCTGCTTCCTTCATTTTTTTGAATGTAGCAGCTTTCTCTTCACCAACAAATTCTTTAATGTAGTGCTTGCAGGCCGATTGAAGCTCTTCGACGGCTTTCTCCTTTACATCACCACTGGCCGCTTCAAAATATTGTATGATTTTCTCGTACATTTCTTCTTTATAACCGCTTTCCTTGATTTTCTTCAATTCATCTTTCTGAGAATCGTTTAACCATGTAAGGTACTTCTGAAATGTGAAATCAAAGCTGTGATTGTGATGGTGATGACGGCTTCGTCGTGATCGACCTCCACTATATATCTTCCGGCAGGTAGTAGCCAAACGTGAGGCTTTTATTTTGCGCTTCGGATCCGCGATCTCCTCGATCATTTCATCGACTTTCTGCAAAATATCTTCATGTGTGGCTCCATTGCGCCTTAGTTGTTTGATGATATTTACGTTCTCTTCTCCCAGAATATCTTTCCTGTAATGTTTGCACGCCGCTTTCAGTTTATCCGTGCCCTCTAGTCTAACTTCTTTGCTAGATGACTCTAAGATCTTCAAGATCTCATTATAAAAACCTTCTCGATTACTGTCATCATAAATAGCTTTCATTTTTTCCTTCTCTTCAGTTGTCATCCAGTTGAGGTAAGTGTTCACTACATCTTCGAAATTGTGCTCGTGCATGTTCCGGTGAGCTCTTCTCTTGCGACTGCTCTGAAGACAGTTATTTTTCGTGAGTCTTGAAAAAAACTAAAACATTAAGATGAAATGAACGCATTTTTTGCCATTAGTGTTGAAATGCTAGTCGATCTACAGGAAATCTCTCAGCCATAGCTGAGAATGGTGATCTTTTCATTCTATCTGGTTCTACCTCATATCCAATCAGTATTCTATACAGTTACCATAGGTGATGGAATACCTTCTAGAATTTTAGTTCCAGTTAATGCACAAGTAGATGAAGATATCTAAAACGTTGTGGATGTCAAAATGAAACTACTTTTGTTTTATTAACCCTTCCATTGCGATGCCCATTCAGCGACTTTGGTTAATCGCTGTTGCTTTAAAGAAATGACGAATTAAGCTTACCAAGTAATGTATGAAAAATGTGCACTATGTGCGTTACATATTTCCTTCAATGAAGCAAGAAGGTAATCGCCGAGTTTTCGGAGCTCCAACAATTGGTGGGTGGTTTAAATTCAGAGCCTCACCTATCCCGTTCTCCACCTTTTGCACCACTCGTCCACGTCGTTTTTCTTTATTTTTATTGAATCTCTTCGCTTTATCATATATAAGGTGTAACTTGAGTATTGAAGAAGCTATCCATTTCAATTTAGTAACCTAATTGATTTTTCATGGTTTAGGTTTTCTTCCCATTTAGTTCAAATACTATCCCTCCCTAAGCCTTGTTTACCTCCCTGAGCATCGTCATTGTCTGCGAGAGATGACAATGCCATCGGTGAAACTAACGTTTTAAAGAGTGTTCCATCAATTCAATGCACATTTCATTCCATTCCCAATCGACTGATTGTCTGCTGCATTGTATTGGTGAACAGCTTCTGTTAGATCGTCTCACCATTTTTTACTTCTGCCCTTATAGCAATGGTAAGGAGTAGACGGAGACTGTGCATCGTTGTTACGTAGTTGAGATATCAAGGAGATAGGATGAGGAGCAACCAGTTGAGTAAGCAGGATTTCGACAGTGATTTTGCAGCATGGACCACATCCAAATCGTGTCCAGGGTCACTGAAGTAGTCATGAACACGCCTGCCGCTAGTCCTGTACATTGTCGACTGTCGAAAAGCGTTTGATAGTATCGAGATAAATACAGTCCTACCAGCGATTGTCGACCAAGGAGTAGACCCGTCCTAAGTAAGAACTCTATCTCACAGTTATAGGGATCGCACTATGAAAGTGCAGCTTTTCCAATGAAGTCTTAACATACCCATAAGAAAAGGGATTCGACAAGACGACACAATATCAGAAAAGCTATTTACTGCCTGACTGCAGTTGATAACGAAGTCGATCGATTGGAATTAAAAGGTGTACGTTATTGATGAGAAATTCCTATAAAATCGCTTCGCCGGCGACATCGTCTTCTCAAGATGCACCAACGAATCAGATACGATGTACAATGAACTAAACAAAGCGCGAAGAAAGATTGGACTTCGCATAAATTGAAAGAAGACCCAATTCATTAAGAACCTATGGAGTGAAGGCAATCAGATCAAACTGGATGGTTCTCTGCTTATAGAGACCACCCGTTCGTGTGCCTTGTGCGTTCAATGAACATGGAGAGCAACATGAAGGAGGAATAAGACAGAAGAAGGAGAGCAGCTTGGACCTCATTCGGACCTCTCAAAGAAGCCACCGACAAACTAAAGAACCAGAAAATCTGCGCTCACCTTTTCGATTCAACAGTCCAAACAGTGCTCTGCTATGTAGTAGAGACGTGGACTGATATTTCTAGCACGTCAAGAATACAGCGCACCACTCAAAGAGCGTTTGGAGCATGTCTTCTTAAATATAACTGGCACAAACAATACCTAGCTGGAATGCGAAGCTCTGATTTTCGAAATCTATCTCATCTAAATCAAGCCGAACACTCATCAAATGATAACGAGGTATGGATGGACCGGTCGTATAATGGCAAGAACGGAAGGCAAAAGAGCGAAAAGAACTGTTGAATGGATTTTAAGGGGGTGAAGACGTCCCTTAAGGCAATCGCTTGCACGTTTGGTGGACATGGTCGTAAATAAAGTAAATCAGCTGCACTCGCAGCTGCGGTTATTTTACAGATCACGGTGTGAGACTCGTACCCGTCACCATACTCCAGTCGATCCACCACCATGGACGAAAATTCTGAAGTAAATAAGCGAATGGAAAATTAGCTGGGATCCACACAACTCATGAAGACGGCCGTCCAAGTATCCAAGTAAGTAAGTAGGTTGTGATCGCAATCGGGTAAAGTACCTATGTAGGACGGGTCAGTGGTTGACAAGCGCTGATGAAGCGCCATTCACTTGCTTCTTCGTATTTCAAAAAAATTTAGACTCGTAGCCCTACGATGCTACGGGCGACGGTGTAGATTACACGTGAATATATTTGTTACATGGCACGAGAAGTGTGTATAGCTCCTAGAAACCAGCTGAACGGAGACTCTGATGCTATTTGGTCTTCAAGATATGTTGTCGATCAAAGCGCTGACATCAGAGGATGGAATTCGGTGTAATTCTTTTTCGCCAGTTGGCGTCTAGTACGAGAGTTATAGGACTGAAAAGACCGATGTAGAATTTCTTTGTTATCATTCACAGTAAGAGGTGTGCTAACCCCATTTCTTCCCTGTGTAGCTGAATACAAAACATTATACCAATAATATTATTGTTCGTATAGATTTCAGCGACACCTCTTTATCTGCTTTTTTTATGTTTCTAACGGCTTCTTTTGTTTCTACTGGTATAGCTCTTCTGGGAAAGATTTCCTGCAGCTGCTATTTATGGGTATTCCTTAATGCACCAGACTTAAGGGACATTCTTTCGTTAGAATAGTTCTCCTCCTATACGTCTTTGCTTACTCATTATGACTGATGACAGATGTCTTTTTCTGTTTACTCTTGGAACGGAACTTCGCACCTAAAGAAGGTTGATTGGATCTAGTACAGAATGATGGAACAACTCAACTGTCAAAGAAATGCTATCTTCGACTTCTCAGAATGTGGCAGATCTCCGTATAAATAGCTCCACTTGGAAAATATTATGTGCATTGGAAAAATTATGTATGCTGTCCTTTCTACTTCATGTAGGGCGATTAAATGAAACTTGATGTAACTCCACGGAATCTAAGAGTTTGTTTTGATTGGCGTTTGAAGGACTACTTCTGGCGTTGTAGGTGCTGGAGCATTTCGTTCATTGTAGCTCGAAATTTAATCACCGTTCCCCGATTGTCTCATTATCTCACCTTGTAAGAAACTTTTCATAAGACTCTTGAGGTAACTTTGACGATGTGCTCTCTAGTGACCATCACAAACAGTAGTCGCTCTTTTTAATGCAGAAGTAGATTTGTCCCTTCCGACTAAGATTCTTAAGACAACAGCAAGTACTGTGTTTCATTTTTTGCTTTGAATTATCTATCAATTTTATTTTCTTTCGTTTTTATTTTATTTTATTCCATTTCGTTTCATTTTATTTTATTTTATACGACCCGTCTTCACGTCCGCTGTACGGGTCCCAGCATTTCTTCCATTCCATCCGTTTCCTCGCATCCATCACCCACCATTATCTTCCAAATTTTTACCTACGGCTTCGGCTGCTACTTGAGGAATTTTATTTAGTCTTGATTGCCGTAGGATGCTGCTCGAGTCGATTCTCCCTGGAGCCCTGAGATTTTCTGGAGAAGCCTGGAGCGTTCCCAGTTGGATTGCAGAGTGATTTTTTCCCGGACAAGTCCAGTACCAATCTTCCGACTCCAGATGGATGAGAAACTTGGTGAGTCCGGAGAGAGCTCAAACCAGAACCGTGCTCCTGATGATCTTCATTACCACCACTGTGCTATCTGCTTCCTATCTACCAATTTTGACAGAAAAATGAAATTCGAGAAAAATGGACCTTTCATTCGGAACTATCTGGAATGATAAAGGAGGAATAAAACCAAATAAATTTGTTATTGGTTAGCTGTCAGTCAGAAATGGTATGCTAGGTTATTGGAACCTTTTTCAATAATTTCGAAGAAGAATTTCTCACCTGCACCTCCCAAACACCCAAGCACACTTCTCGAACGTGTTCAACTGTATGCTTCTGCTCTTCAGTTAGTCGGCTCTCAAGTTCTGTTAGTTTTTTCTTCAACTCCTCGTGATCCTTCTGTTGGTGCATCTTCAAAATTTTCTCCAGTTCTTCGGGCGTAGCCACCTCTTTCACCCAATCAAAACATTGAGACTGCAAATGCTGTCATTCATAGATAGTCATTAATTTATCGCTTATACTGAATTCCAAGTGAACGATAGTTAAACTGATTAAGTGTTGTGAAAACTCAAAAAAACCACATATTTCATCCTGCTGCTGCTAAATAACTTCCTAAGATTTCTTCGAACTAACCGAAACGTACCTTGAAATTAGCTTTCAGCTCGGCCTTTTTCTCCTCTGGCAGCATATCGTAGAATTTTTTCACTTGCGCGATGACATTATCAAAGTGAGCTCCGCTATTTTCTATTTCCTAATTCAGAAGATTTGAGTTTTCTTTTTTCACGTAATATTCAATCTCTGCTCTTCAACTACAACTGCATAGTATTTTCGAGGGACGGAATAAATTATAAACTAAAAAGCTCTTTCTTTTGTCTTTGCTTTCACAACCAACAAGGAACTGCGTTATAGTTAACCCACCTCCAGCTCGCTCTTCTGTTCAGGCTTCAGCCAGTCAAGAAATTTGTCGATGGCATGCAGATGACGTCTATGTCTGGTAGCCAGATGACGACGGTGGTGTCCATGAGCGGTGTGATGAGTGTGATCTCCATACCATACCTTCTCACAGAATGGAAGATTCTTCTCCACCTCCTCCTGTGATGTTAGAAATCAGATTCTAAAACTCGCTAATAAAGATTTTCCTATCTTGTATCTTCACCAACCTTTTTCTCAGCCGGAAGTCTTCCAATGAACTCCCGTACTTTCTTCTTGCACGCATCGTGATCATTTTCGTGCATTTTATGAAGAGCAGCAATCTCTTCAGCACTCGCA